TCCTCTGGCTGCTCTACAGAAATATCCAGTAGAAGAAATTGGGTCTGTGACTCAACCAGGTGGGGCTGCCCCAAGGCCCAAGGCAAAGATAAGGACACTCAGCAGGACACAGCTGCCCTCCGCAGGGCAGGAAAGAAGAAGATAGGACCACCGCCCAGGGGGACGCGGGGCAGGGAACGGCTGAAGAGCAAGGATGGGACGCCCGTCACAGGAGCTGAGCAGCAGAAGGCCCCTGGAGGCCGAGGTGGAGGAGGCCTGGGCACGGGAGGGCCCTGGAAACAGAGAGATCTAGAAGAACGGGGAGGAGCTAGTGAGTTGGTCACGGGGAGCCAGAGAGAGAGATACCTGGATGGATGAAATGTATGGAGAGGGCACCGTGCGCAAGCAGGTTTGGGGCGTTGGGAGGGTGCTGAGGTCCTGCTCGGGTCCTGGTGGGGTGGAGTTGAGGTGCTGGGTGGCAGGGTGAGGGTGGGGGTCTGGAGTCTCAGGCTAGGAGCAGGGGGTGTGCGTGATGACTACTGTGGAGGAGCACAGCTGGGGGAGCAGGAAGCTGAGGAGAAGGGGAAGACCCGGCTGAGGCCGGGAGGAGCTCGGGGCTCAGTGCGGGCACCGGACGCAGGATGGGGTGGCGGCCTCACCACTTTGTTCTCGTAGAGCACCAGCCCGTAGTTGTGGGGCACGAGGCTAAAGCGGTTCCTCCACTTCTTGTTGTCCTCCTGGTACTGAAAAAGGTTTCCCGAGAAGATGATGCGCTCATCCAGCGGCACCTGTGGGAGGGAAGGGAGCAGGGAGTGACGACGGCAAGGGAACGGGGTCCTCCGAGACGGTGACAGCCTGGCCTGTGGCGCCTGCGTGCTCACCCACGAAGGCCTCCGAGGCAGGGCTGCGTCTCACCCACTCGGCAGATGAGGAAAGTGAGGCACAGGGCAGTGAAGGGACTTTCCCGGGGTCCGGGAGGTGCAGCGATGATGTCAGGACTTGAACCCAGGCCAGACACCATGATTCAGAACCCAGACAAGACCATCCTCTATCCTGGCCCTAGGCAGGTACAGCTACCTCAGAACGGGTCTGGAACTCTCTGGAGTCTGCAGCAAGCTGCGTCCCCATCCATCCCCGCTACAGCAAGGGTACAGGGCAGTCCCCCCAGCAGAGGGGACACGCTCACAGACCAGGCCAGTGAAGCGCCTGGGGCTCCGTTTCTCCTCGGGGCAACAAACACTTGACCAAGGTGGCTCCAGAGAGCCTGCCCAGCTCTGACAACTGACAGGATGGTCTCCAGGAATCTGAGTGGGGGTGGAGCGGGCCTCAGTCTGGAGGGTTCGATGTGTGACCAGCGTGAGCAGCGGGAACACCCAGACATTCCTGCAAAGCCTGAGCTTTGACTCTACCTCTGACTCAGTGTGACTTAGGGCCCGTCATATCACCTCTTTGAGCCTCAGGAAATGGGGACAGCGACAGCACTGACTTCATCAAGGTATCTCGAGGATTCCGTGCGATAAACGCTGACAAAGGTCACGCAGGCAGCGGGGACCTGGCAGGCAGTGCACATAGCGCACAATACCCGGAGCCACCATGACCACTGTTAAGATTGATCAGTCTGGGTCAGTCTCCCAGCTCCACGACTGACTTGTTTAGGGAGGATGGGGGTGGGGGGTGGCCATCCTGAGAGAGTGCTTCCTGAATAGGTCAGTACCGGGAAGCTTCAGGAAAGGAGACAGAGCTCCCTCCTGGCGGCAAGGAGCTCGGACAGTCCAGGGTTCCTCGCTTTCTCAGCAGCTTCTATCTGTTCTACAATAAATATGTGTGCCTTTTGCAAAAAGAAACATGTATCATGCAATAATGGGAGAAAGCATTATGTTAGTGGTGCCTAACACTTCCTAGCTTCCTTGCTGTGTTTCGGGGAGTCACATGTGAGCAGCCCCTCCCAAGCCACCCCCTCTGCCTCCCCCAGGCCTGGCTTTTCACACGCAGCCCCCTCTGCCCAGCAACCTCCCAGCTACTCTTCAAGGGGAAATGCCAAACCATTCTTGGAAAATGAGGGCCCATTGTACTCAAACAATAGGACCCCCACAGACTGCTTCCTACCCAGGGATAAAAATATTTACAGGAAAAGAAAATGGTTCCCCTTACCACTACCACCCCCACCCCCACGCACAGTGGGCTTTACCCAAGTCACAAAGCTGCTGTTGAGTGGTCTATATTTAGACCAGGACCTGCTCTCAACCCACCTCTCAATGCCCAGATCTTCTAGAACAATTCCAGCTACAGCTGTCCTGACACCCTGCTAAGACCCTCAATGCCCCAGGCCTTTGCTTAGGGCGGGAGCCTGACTCGGGGCCAGGGGGAGGCTGTGCCTAAGCGCACAGCTGACCGCCCAGGCAGGCCCTCCCAGGCCCAGTCAGGCTCAGAACCCCAACCCCTAGTCCACCCCCAGATTCTGAGCAGCCAGTAATGGGTGGCTGGTTGCGGGTTTGGGTTTTATTTTTAAGACTTTCAAATGGCAGAGTTGTGTTTCCATGGGAAGGCCTGCGGGAAACAAAATGCAACCGACAGCCCAGGCAAAATATTTTGGACTCTGCAAAGCTCTCCAATGACGCGGTGGGAATCTTCAGTGGGTGGTAGATGGCCGGAGCACAGACCCTGGGTTCCAGCCACAGCTCTACTGCCCACACCAGGGGAGCCTGGACAAGTGACGCCACCTCTCCAAGCCTCAGCATCCGCAGCTGTGATGCGGACAGAATCCGAGTCCCTCAGACAGCGGAGTCGTGCCAGCTGGATGAACCGTGCCCGCAAAAAACACCTGCGCTGTTTTTATTATTATTTCTGTTTTTATTACGACTATTGCTATTTTTATTGTATTATTTTTTTATTATTGTTCCTAATAAAAACAATTAATATTATGGAGATGGTTATTATTATTTCCATTATTATATTATTACCATGATGGCCAGTTACCTGAGTGGCAAAATGGGACCAATAATCCCAGCTTTTCAGGGATTGTGGGTGATTTCATTTTATTTTTCTTACTTATGTGTTAATTCTGTTTTCCTACAATGAATACGCACCCATGTGAGTGTTAAAGGGATGTTTCATGCAGAGTAAAAGCTTAGTGCTGTCAGCTGGCCCTCGCTTCTCTCTGGGTTATTAGGCCCTGGCTCCCTGTGACATTTCTTTCCAAAAAGGGGGGGCAATTCCAGCTCTGCCCACTCAAGGCAGCTCAACCTGGGCTGGGTCCAAGGCCTCCTTTCCGATCACACAGGTGTGCACCTGCCAGACACCCAGGCCAGGCCGCATCTCCATGCACCTCTGCCCTCTGTTGTTCGGACACCTCCTAACAAGTGTGATGGGAGGTTGCCATCACACCAGGGGACCAGTATTTTGGGGGTCCAAAATCAAAGGGACATGTGATGCTCTGAGAGCATCTGACACACAGCCCTGACCTACCCTCCACCCCAAGTAAGCTGAGGGAAGAGGAAGAAAGATCCCTTGACTAGAAACCTGAAACCTAGCTCTAGTTCTGTCTCCACCAGCCCGGGCAAGCCATTTAAAGGCTCAGCTCCGGGCCTCTGCATGTGCCATCGCCTTGGTCTGATAGTCCTTCTCCCATAAGGGCCTCAGCTGAGATAGCCTTTCTTTCAGGAAGCGCTCGTGAACCACACAGATGAGGTGAGGCCCTCACTGTCAGAGCTCACCCTGTCATCTCTTTCATACTGCACACTTGATTGTGTAAACGGCTGTTCACTCTCTGTCTCCCGTCTGCTGGGACAGCAAGGGCAGCGTGGCCCCATCACCTGGCCTGACACAGTCAGTGTGTCCGACTATGGACCATCTGTCTCTCCCTCAGGGTACTCCCTTTTCTCATCAACAGCTCTCCCACCCCCCTGAGCTAATGCCTCCAGCTGAGAAGACACCAAACGGTAATAAATTCTAAAGGCCAGGTCAAGTGGCGCCAGCTCCTGCCCCTTTGGTCTCAAGGTAAATAGGCACATTTTTAGCTACTTGGTTTTGGGGGAGGGTGGGAGTGGAATGAAACAAAAATCCCAGTGTGGAGCCTTCTCAGCCTTTTCTGT